GGCGAAGGCCTTTCCTTGTGCCACTAAAGTATGATCAAAAAGAGTTCCTTCTTAGCCAAAACTTTGTTTCTTAACTACAGTATTCTGAATATATATATGTATGTATGTATGTATATATATATCTTTGAATAATGTCCTTGAAAAAGTTGGAGTTCATAAATCTGTCATTATACTGGGCCATTGCTTGAATCTGACCCATGAAACAAGCAACAAGAATATTTTGACTTTATAAATAATAGCTTAAGTATATTTATAGTGGCCTTTCCTGTGCACAGCACTTAGCATCTCAAGATTTATGTGATATAAGGATGAGAAAATCATCTTCATGTAATAGATATGAGAAATATGTTTTAAAATATCAAATGACAGGTCTCTGTAGGATCAGCACCTTGAGACCTACAAGGCAGTGCCCCACAGGAGTTATCTTATTTAATTCTTTGCCAACAACTTGGCTAAATGGATTTTATAAATGATTGAAACTATGTCTGAATGGTTAGAACTAGAAGCAAAAACGGCTTTTAGAACAACCTTGACAGCTTTTCTTCCTGTCAAGCACTAGGGCAAAGATGATGAACATCCCCAAAGAAATAGTCCCCACCTCACAAGGTTTAAGAGGACTGCACAGAGATTTAAATATGTTGAGCCCAGCTGCTGTCTAAGAAGTTTCCATTCAATCAAAGATGTCAGAATTTTGCACTCAGGGGGAAAAAGAGAAAAGGTCTGGAGAATAAAACCATAATTATACTTCATAACTTTGGTTTTATTATGAAACAGTTAAAATGCTGAAAGTGACACGACCTCTAAACATACTCCTGGATGTTCCTGTTGTCAGTTTATAGCCTTCCAGCTCCAAATCCAACTTTCGCAGCCCTGCTTTAATGCTAATCCTGTGGACATTTTTCCTCTGCCAGGTGGTGCAATGTGGTATTTTGACACAGAGAGAGCTATAGGGATATGCAGGGTGAGCTGGCTTTTCTTCCTGGTTCTGGAGTGCTTGTTCCTGTAGCACTCAGCCACCATGTAGGACACGGTGAGCCTGGGGCATTTACCCTAAGGAGTGCAGCAGTGCTCTTACAGGGGGAATCCAGAAAAGTGTGCCAGAGCACCAGTCAGCTTCCTAGTAAGTACAATACTCCCCCCCCCCCCCCAGCAGCTTCCCAGTGGGTTGACCAGTGCCCCAGCTGGACAGTAGATGATGGCTCCTAGTGGATTTCATCAGCACCTCACCAAACTTTTCTGCTAGCCAGACCACTACAGCCAGACCATCTTCACTGAGGTCGAATTTCAGTTTGGGGAGGAGGGGAGAGAGTTCTCTTCCAAATTTTTTCTTTTTTTTGGTAGTCTGGTTTACTCTTAGGCAGTAGCCACTCCCTGTATCTGCTATTCCTATAATTTTGGGAGTTCACTTAACCCTCTGTAGTTGCTAATCTTCTGATACTAGCTACAAATTCTTTATATTAAAATTCCTCTGTTCAAATCACTATGTGATTTCCTGACTAGACCTTGACTGATTATACTGACATCCAACAGAAATGTGTTCACCGAAAGACATGCACGAGATATTTCACAGCAGCACTATTCATAATAACCAATTATCTGTTCCTAGAGAATAAATAAATTGTAATGTATTCATACAAATGAAAGCTATAAAGTAGCAAGAATAAAATGAACTACAAATACACACAACATAAATGGACTGACAACATAATGTTGAGGTGGAAGAACCAGAAACAAAAGAAAATATACTGTGTGACCGCATTGATGTAAAGTGCAAAAGCAGACAAAACTTACCTCTCCTGCTAGAAAATCAGAATAGTGGTCACCTTTGGAGAAGGTTACTGATTGGAGCTTGTGGAAGGCTGGTACTGCTCTGTTACCTGACTTGAGTGTTGGGTATACATCATTGTTTAGGCAAATTTATTGAGAAGTACATTTTTAAAGTCTACATTTCAAAAATTAGTCAGGCTGAAAAATATTACATATTTATGTGCTGTAAAC